ATCTGCCAGCAAAGAATAGACGGAGCAGGAAAAACTGGACTAATTAAAAATCGTAATGATCCGAAATTTTGGGGAGTAAATATTCCCCAAAAAGTTCTCTGCCTAGCCTGTTTAAAATTTTTCTCCGCAGAAATGCCTGTGAGTAAAAAATATGTTTTTAATAAATACTTGCGACGCGGTTATAACTAGTTCTTTTTTACAAAAAAGAACACCCAGAACCAAACCCTTTTAAACCCATTTTTCCGGGCGGATAGATTTTTGGTTTACTTGGACTTTTCTTTTCTCTTACTTTTCTATTTTAAAAGTAAAAGTGAAGCCAAAAGTAAGGATTTTTGGCTAATTTACCACCCTCTATTGTCTAATGACAATTTTGGTGAAAAAAATTTTTGTAAAATTTGTAGTTTTAGTTTTTAAAATTAAAATTATCTAAAAAATTATTATGGAGCAATTAGAAAAACAAAAACAAGAATTAAAATGAAAATGATATAACTTCATTGGCATATTCGGATTTCAGTTAATGTTTAACTTTCTTGGAGTTTGTTTTTTCGAATATATTGCTAAAAAATCAGAAATAAAACCACCCGAAACATTTATAAGTGCTCTTGTGATTACCACAATTCTCTCTCACATAATTAATGCCCTTATCATATGAGACGGTTATAACTCATGGGAAAAACTTTCTGAAAAATTAGTTAAACAAAAAGAGATAGAAACTAAACAAACTATTCAAAAACAAATCGAAGAAGCAAAAAAAGAACTACTAGAAACTAAAACTGAACTACTACTCACCCAAAATAAATTACGGGAAGAGAAAGAAAAAAAAAGTTAATTTAAAAATAATAATAAAGAACAAAAATTGATTTTATGTTTAATACGAATATCTTGTTTTCTGTTTTTTCCCCCCTGGCTCTTTAGGTTCAATTTCAACCTCCTCTTCCTTATTAATTCGTGCACCGAGTAAAAACCCAAAAAGGCTAGTATTAGTATCCCCTTCTGGCAATAAATAATCGTCTGATGTGTCATCAGGCGTTTCAAAATACCACCCATAACCGCCTTTTTCAGAAGTGAGATTTACCTTATTATGGGTCGCAGAAATTAAAATTTCTTTTAGCCGCTCGGGCTCATAATATTTCATTAAAAAATGTTCAAATTCAAATTGTTTAAGAGATACTCCTCCTTTTGCCCTACCTCCCGACATTTGTTCTATTGCCTTACTTCATTCTTTAAAATACTCTTGTAACTTTCCCATCAATATTATTTCTAAATTTTCTTGAGCCTGTTTTTTGTCAATTTGTTTTGGAGGAGGAGGATTTTTGAAATATTCAAGAACTTTTCCTAAATCTTTTTCATTTAATTCTTTTTCCCGCCCAGTAAGCGGTTTAAAGGAATTATCAATTATTTTAGAACCCCAACTTTGCTTTTTTAGTTCAGTTGTTCAGTTTCCAAAAACTGTCGACAGTGCTGCAAAAACTGATGGTGGGTCATTTGAGTTTCGAGAGGTCCTTCCTCGTTGCTGCGTGTAACTACCAATTGTGCAATCTCCTATAACAGTTTTCTTATTTCCATTTTCATCAAGTGTTATCTCCATGCTACCTACTCCAGTCGCTAAAATGTTAAGGGGAGAAACTCTAAAGTTAATGCCGGCTTCATAAGCGTTATCAAGAAAGATTAATTTAGGAGAGTCACCGCCAAAACTAGCAAAAGTTTGCACAATTTCGGTAGCTTCTTTTTTGGAAGTCACATCCAATATCTTATGTCTAATTCCATAAGCACTCAATTTTTGCTTGAAGGGTGTGAGATTTATTAGTGACATATCATCACAAAAAACCAACACTACGGGTTTGAAAAAATCCGGAAATTCTTTCAACAAACTTTTGAAATCAGTAACATAACGGTCGTAGATAGGCCCATTTAATTTTCGAGAAATTGGCAACCCACCTTTAATATGAGTAGCACTTACTCCCACCATATTGAAACCTCTTTTTACTGGTTTTTTTTCCTCAAATTTTACTATCACTTTTTGATATTCGAGATCCAAAGTATGATATTCATCAAATATCACTCACTCGTTAATTCAGCCAGAACGATTTGTAATTCAGTCAGAACGCTTAATTTCACTATTATAAACTTCTAAAAACTTCGGTCACGAAAGAATATTCAGTCACTTACTTGGACCATTAACGGCCGCTGTGTATCCAGTATGCCGATTTTCACATATTTTACACTTAATAACATCCTCCTCAGTTGATTCATCATTAGACAATCACTCAGTATGGCTTTTTCTTAGATTTTCAGCCAGTTCATCATTAGGAACTACCAAAGTAACTCCTTTTTCGAGGCTAGGATTTGCCGCAAACTCACTTTTGTCTAGCCCTCGGAATGCTAGACAACGAGGAAAGTGAGTAGATTTACCACTACCGGTTGCTAATGATATTTGAGTATAATTTTGCTCCTTTCGTTTATATTCAATTCGTCCGGTTCGTTGATTTTTGACTTTATCTACGTCATTAGAAAGTTGATGTGGCTCACGAGGATTAAACCTATTATCTTTTGGATAGCCAGCTCTTGACTTTTCAATTCACTTACCCCTGTCAAACACTTTCATTTTTGGATCAAAAAAACCCTTACTTATCAGTCATTCCTCTAAAGTTAAATCATGTTCTTCCACTACATCAGGGAAAGGAAAATTCATTATCCCCTTAGGGTTTTCTATTGACCTTGACTTATTTTTTTCAATAACTTTTTTGAATACCTCATTGAATATTTTTGCTAGAAATTCATTTCTTTGGGTTTCATTTTCTGGATCAGAACTCACTGGCAATTTAAGATTTGATTCTCAATTTATAGCACTAGGTCTTAAAACATCAAACTTTTCAAACAATTTTTTCAAATCGTAATATATTTTCTTCTATTTGCTTAAACCTTTCTTCTATTATTTGCAGTAACTCTTCACTCAACTTTTCACCCAATTCTGTTATTCTGGGCGTGAAAGGACGTTCCTCATTCTCATTTTTAGGTTCTTCAACATGCTCTTCCTCTCCCACCTCTTCCTCTTCTGACTCAGTAACTTCTTCTTCCGGTTCTTCCTCAATTGACGCTTGACCTACTAACTTTTTACACTGATATAATAATCATTCACGATTAGTAATAGCGACTGATATAGCCACACCACTAGCCAATCCCCCAATTATTCCTAATACAACTTTTAAACCAATCCCTTTTCGAACCTTAGTTGTTTTACTAATAACCTCTGACATAAAACATTGTATATTTAAATATCTATTCTTGATATTATAATATTACAATGTTTATTTTATACATTATAATCGTTAAAAATTCGTTAAATTTATTATCTTCTCTCTATCTTCTATTCAAAAAAAACTTTTAACCCAGACAAGCAATCACCCGCATTTTAGCACTACGAGCACGACGGTTTTCGTTTACTTCTTGACCGGAGGCAACCAGAGGTTTTTTAGTAACAACCTGATAACCAAGACGGTTATATTTTTTGAAAATTTGTTTAACAATTCGGTCTTCCAGTGAGTGATAACTAATTACTACAATTCTCCCTCCTATATTTAAATAGGAAAATGCTAGTTCTAAGGTTTGGGCGAGACTAACCAATTCTTGATTAACTGCAATCCGTAGAGCTTGAAAAACCCGGCGAGCCGGATGTTTTTTAGACTTGGCAGTTTGACAGCCAACGATAATTTTCACTAGTTGTTGAGTAGTAGTAATTTTCTCTTTTCTCCGATACTGGCAAATTCGTTCGGCGATTTTTTTAGCCTTTCTTTCCTCGCCATAGTCCGAAAAAATTTTTAGCAACTTCTGATAACTATAAAAGTTAACTATATCTTGGGCAGTTAACTTGTTTCGCTCGTCCATTCGCATATCAAGAGGGGCATCTTGCCGATAACTAAAACCCCGCTCAGTGTCGGCTATCTGTTCACTAGAAATTCCTAAGTCAAACAAAAATCCGTCTACACCAGTCACATTTAAGTGAGACAAATGGGTAGAAAAGTTAACAAAATTATCATTGATAAAAGTAATCGCCCGCGAAGAAAAAAAAGGATTTTGCTGACAACGGGAAATAGCAGCCTGGTCTTGGTCAAAGGCGATTATTTTAATATTCGGACAATTTTCTAATAAAAATTGTGAATGACCGCCGCTGCCGGCTGTGCAATCAATATAAACACCACCACGAGAAGAATTTATTAGATAAGTAAACACTTCTTTTACCATTACTGGTTGATGAAGTTTACTCATTTAATATCGTTATAATTTATAAGTTTATAGCATAAAAATCAATTAAATAAGGGAATAATATACTATTTTACACCAAATAAAAAAAGTGTTATTCACTCTTCTTTGGTTTTGGTGTTTTTAATAAAGC